GATAAAGAATATTGTAAATATATTATAATTTATACGCAAAATTTTTAACTTGCGATTTGACTCTCACTTGCCCGTCTATTATTGTATATAATTATTTTAATTGATTAATTTTTAAATCTTGAGAGTCCGATAATTTGTTTTTAAATAATAATGGCTACATTATTGATAATAATATTACATTGTTTTTCATATTTGTAGTTTTTTAAATCAGTTTTATTTATACTTTTTTCTTTCTTATTTTTTTATAATATGGTTTTAAATATAAGATTGAGGTAAACCGGTACATTTATCTGTAAGACAGATCATAAACTAACTTAATCTTTGTAGTGTCAAAGCTGAAAGCAATCGAATATTTATACGAAATCTCTCAAAAAGAAAACTATAGCGTTACGTGTTTGCAAAACGGCATAAAGTATGTAAATAAACGAACAAAAAACGTTTTATAGAAGTGAAAAGATCACGGTCTAGAAATTTATATTTATATTAATTTGTATTTTGTACAGATATTGTATAAGATATCTTGTACAGATATTGTATAAGATATCTTGTATAGATGATTTCTACGAAAGAAAAAGAATGGGAATATATTACTACCTATTGTTCTGAGGCTCATTTTATCAGACGCTTCTTTTTGCTTATCTTACGCGAAAAGGTTAATTGTTTATAAAAGCGGAAAACTTTTTGTTAAAAAAAAACAAACAAGCTTGAGTTAATAAAAAGTATCAGTTAATAAAAAGTATAAGGTAATAAAAAAATAAATATTTCTCACATTTATCTTTTTATTAATTGAAGCTTATTTGTGTTTTTAACAAAAACTTTTTTGCTTTTTAAATGATTGTTGAAATTCTGATCGATTTCTATATACATATATAATATATATCGGGGACCTTTTTGCAATTGCGAAACCGTGATCTTTCCACTTCAGTAGCAAAGATACCTGCTATTAAAAAACAATCCATGTACAATATTTTTGTATGGAAATTATTTAGTTACGGAAAATTACTCAATTCTAACTGATTACTTTTTTCAAATTTTTTTAAATAAAAATACACAGAGAGAATAAATTTGCTATGTACGCTAATACCTGTATCTTAACGGCAAATTCCATTTGCAAATATAGAGATCGCAAATAAATTGCAGGTGTAACATTTTTTTTTATACTCATTACAAAAATTATTTGTAACGTATACAAAATATTTGTTAAATATACAAATTTGTTTGCTACAAACAACAAATTAATTCGATAATTAAATTTTACAATCTCTTTACGTTTATATAACAAAATTATTTTTTTTAGTGATACATATTAATGGTAAAATAAATGTGAAAGTACTATTTTCATGCAAAAATAACTTATACTTTTAAATTTAAGCGGTGTATTTTTACAACGTATAACGATAAAAAAAATAGTTTTATAGAAAAAAAAGTTACATTTATTGTGATTTTACTATACGATTACTGTGTTCAATCAGAATCTGTATAACTCGATGTACCAAAAAAACAATAGGCAAGTTCAAGTTGACAAAGCGGTTAGGTCTGTTCGCTGAGCAATTAGACATGATTGATTGGTTCTATCATTCGCTTTAGTTTTACATTTTGTATGTAAAATTCAATGGAATCCCGAAAATACATATGTATTGAATTGAAATTAATATAATGTGTAATTTTCCATGTAGGCTGCAATATTACAGATGATTAGGTATATTAGATCGGACAAATCTCAATATATTCATGTAATTTTATATAAATATTTTTTTTAGTAATATATAAATGGAATGAAATGCAAATATGTTGAAAATTTATAAACTTGTCAAGGCTTCAACAAATTATTCAGATTGTTTTGCAAATTTACAATTGCAAAATTGCTGAAAACGATTATTGTTCAAGGATAGTGAATCACGGAGTAGGAAATCACATTAATCTTATAAGCTGATCTTATCGGAATTTCTTACTTCGTGTCATTGAACTTCATTTGGCCTTCAGCGGGATATCCGGTCCTTCCCTGGAAAGTCCAAACTCAAAATAGCATCTCCACGCCAAGCGACGTTTAGAAACAAACTACTTATGCTTTATGAACGTGTTCTTACCGTATGCAAGTACGGTGAGATGCATAGATTTAAAATTGATTATTCAGAGTTGAGACAGAATTGCTTATTAATTTAATCTGTATATTTTAATTCTTTTTCGATCTTTTAATTTATTCACATTGCCAGTCATTATATGCGGAAAGAATTTGCGGAAACGATTAAAAAGTTTAAATGAATACAGGTTTGAAAGCAACTTGGTCCATCAAAACAACTATATAAGAAATTCAAAATGAATAATGCTGCAAAAGCTTAGATATTCTGTCAATCATTTTGAACGTTCTACATCAATATTTTGATAGTCTAATTAAAATTATTTTTACGTCTAGCTTTAAATATTTCAGTAAAATCGTTTTTGTTTTTTCGTGCATTAACATATTTGATATATTTTTCTCTTTCTATTTGTATTTTAATTACGACATATACACTGAGAAAGATTTGTTAAATTTTAATAAATATTTCTTTAGATATATATATATAGGTCTAGCGAAATATTTACTTACGGTAAATAAATATTTAGATAAATGAAAAAAATTGTTGAATCAAGTGGTTCTTGGATATAATAAATATGTATTTACATTTATTAAATATTCCGTTAGGATTATTCAAAAAAATATTTATTAAAATTCAGTAAATTTTTTCACAGTGTAGTATCATTATTTAAATGTTTATACGATAAAATAACATATTATTAGATTTCAGCACAAGAGTAAATAATTGTGTTTAATTATAACAAATGATATTCTATTCTTTAAACGATTATGCTACAAAATAGGTCCTACATAGAATAAATAAAAATAAGACACCTGTTTGAAGTTCTTGAATGAGATTTTTAATAATTTGATCGTAGCTTATCTCCATAACTCTCTTTTTCAAATATTATTTTTTATATATTTTGGCTCTTTGTATGTAGATCCATGACTAATAATTATCTCGTTCACAAGTCAGACAGAAGTGGCAAGTATCTTATGAAAGTATAAAAAGGTTTTTGATAAATGTTTCTTTGTCGAACAGTTGCTTTTCTCATTTATAATCTTTTACTAGAGAATAATGATGTATGAAGGTTGAGTCCAATTAAGGCGAAAATGAAATCACATTTGTGAAAAAAAGATTTTTTTAGAGCTAATTTGTAACTGTACTGAATTAATAGTACATGGGCAATTTGTTGAGTCAATGACTATCTTTTACTTCTTTAAAACTAAAATTCGATAGATTTTTTTAACGTAGTCGGCTTTTAAAAAATTCCTGACTTATCGAACTACTCATGTACATTACTCGATTAATTCTGATTGATGTAAAAAAGCGGCTGGTACGTGTTTCTGATAATTATTTGCTTTTTAATATAGGTATGACATCTTATGCATTGGATAAACGAAAAGCTAACAAGCTGGTCGTAAGCGATTCTATGTAAAATTCGTGTAATTTTCCACGAACCATCCAACGTATCGTGACGACATTTTCCTTTTTAGTATTCACACGATAAATAAGATTATTCGACATATAATTGTATTTACCCAAATACTCTATATGACTGGATCAAAGATCACGAGCAGCTACGTTAAAAATGCGGACTGAGTGTTTGCACGTCGCGAAGCGTCTGACGTGACATGACATAATCTTTCCGGACATCCGCAGTGTCATGTCAGGTTTGCCACGTTAAGACTGAGCATCCGAGCTGGTGCAGGCGAACGATCATGAATGAACATGAATGAATGTAGAGTGTTTTTTTTGGCCTACTAAAACAAAGTTAAATCTAATTAAGGCGCTTTCAGCCGGTATGGCCAACATATACTAACTTTAACAAATTTTATACACTTACGTGAGTTATCCGATAAGTCCGTACAAAGTCTAAAATATGGCACCACCAGTATCGAGATTATTTTTAACATTCGGTAACTTTTGAAGGGTCACACACCAAATTTCAATGAGATAGATCTATTACTCTGTGTTTGGCGTTTATTTGAATTGATCAAGTACAATGCGATTTACACTATGAAATCCAAATTCGAAGATTAGAGGGATGCGGAAGGACTTTGTAGCGCAAATCGAATTTTGCGGTCATATTGCGAAATTCTTTCTGGTCCACTTTTCGCAAACCACGGTACTTGAAAAAAATTTTCTAGCAAATTAAAATTCTTAGCTTTAAAGAAGTTTAATTAGCGTATCACACATATAGTGTTGGAAAATCAATTAAACAATTAAATGCAAGCAGTGTTAACAATTTAACATCAATAGTAAGTTACATTACTATGTTAAATTGCTATCTCAACAAAATATTCGACGGTTTTTGAATCAGGACAAAAATATAAAAAATCAAAATATTTATAAAAACATCATGGGAAATCTTGTAATGTTGTCTATAAAAATCAAGGAAATGTTATGGAATTTTACGGTGAGGAATCTGCGGCAGCTGCAAAAGATGAGATGTGTTCCTCTCGACGCGAATTTAGGCTCGTTCGTGCTCGCAGCACATCGAATTGACCGCGTTCGTTTGCGTTCGTTCGCACTCCTTAGTCCGACTCCGCCTTTTAGGTATCATCGTCTGGTCGTCGTGCTGACGTCATATGGCGAACGCCGCGACGACGACGCGACGTCAGGAGCCGTATGCAGGTGAACCACAATCTCGACGTGCACGACGAGATCCGGAGGACGCGAGTGGGAAGGAGGGAAAAACAAGAAGAGAGAGAGAGAGAGAGAGATGGAGCGAAAGGGAGGCGGGAGAAGGGACCAATATGGCGAATCGGTTAAAAGCTATGCACCGGCGTTACGTCCACCAGTCCGCGAGTTGGCACGACGGCAGTGCGTTCGTCGCTTCGATATCGACACGGTCGATAACGCTCCTCTTTTCCTTTTTTTTCTTCCCTTTTTTCTAATTTCTTTTTTTTTTATCGTTTTCTCCCGAAACCTCGACGGAAAAAGAAATCTAACGCTCGCGTGCAGAAGGCCGAAGTAGCGCAGATCTGCGATTTTTCGCGCAAAATTATCGCAAAATATCTTCATCATCATCGTGCTGATCCTTTTCGAAAACGAAAGTTGAGAGAACGGTCAAGAGTGACGATTGATCGGAGATAGAAGAGGAAGAATAAGAAAAAAGAAAAAGGGAAGACCATTTTCGCTTTCGTTGGAGTGTCACGATTGTAGTGTGTGTTACGATTTTTGGACGAACGTTGATCAATTGAGACGTAATCAACGCGTGATAATTAGTAAGTATTGTGAGATATTTTCTCAATACTGTTGATATATTAATCCCTTGATGTTAATCCGGTTTCATCAATGTCTAATGACAGTAATAATAGTAATCAAATTAATTATTTAAATGGTTTAAAGAAAATAATAATATGATTAAGATTAGAGAGAGAAATATATATAAAATTATTATATGATTTTTTATTATTACATCGATACGAAGAAATATTAGTGCTAAACAGTTGATATTAGATAAGTGATATTATAACAATGTAATGAAATAATATAACTATTTATGAAATTGATCGTGTTGATGTTTCTTATATTATGTCAATTTTTATGTTATGTCATATCATAAGAAAGAAAATTGCATAGGTCTTTCTATGAAAACATTATCTTCTTTATTGATGAAACTGGACATTAAGAGGTTAGTGCAATATTGGTGTGATCAATTTTTGATGATATAGATACCGAGAAAATATTATTTGTTTCTGCTGTAAATCGAGATACGAATCCATTGCAATTGTATTGATCTACATGTCTTCGTTATTGGTAGTCAGTAAAAAAAATTCTATAGAATTGGATTTCAATGCTCGTGAGGTCGTAAATTGAATTGAAATATCGAAATAGTTTCGAGAACAGAGTGGCTGACTAACGCACGACTGGACGTCTTAATTATTTTCAATCAATCATCAATCAATCACTCGGGTATCGTTCGAGAAAACCATACAAAATACATCTTCCTTCCTTTCTTCTTACCTTCCTTACTTCCTTCCTTCCTTTCTTCTTACCGCACCTCTTCTCTTATGATTCACGAGCGCGCGATTTAAGTTCAATTCACGTTCCACTCGTTCGCAACATACTCGTGGGAGCATTTAATGAACGTATTTATAGTCGTTAAACCATCCTTATGTATTGAAAGAAGCCTTGAGTCAATGCTTCTCGATGCGAGCCGCGTCGTCGCGCTTCTCTGCGTTTATTTCGCTGTGCGATTAGCAAGCTGGCGGATGATCGCTCATACACAACAAGTCGACAGTTCGACGCCGCAAATGCGTCAGCGGGGGATTCCGCATGATTATTACGATCACCACCCGGCGATCTGCCCGTGAGCGGAAAACCGGAAAGTCGATGGCGTTTCTTTAACTTTTACGCACCTTAGTGCGAAACAAATATACCAGTTGTGAATTTTTTAATGCTCGTTAAAGTATTCCATCCTTATTCGCATATCTGTTTCTTTATCTTTTTTTTACGTGACAATGATAAAACCTGTTACCTTTTAATTGTCGACAATTATTGAACCACAAGAAGAAAAAACCGTTTTACTGAAGTATTTAAAAATATAGCTACACATATCAAAAAATTTTGTTGGACTGTCAGAATTAATTATGTATGTAGGACGTTCAAACTGGATTTGTTGGAGTATTAAAACTCTTGAAAGCATTAATCATGCTTGAATTTCCTACATAATTATTTTGATGGTTCAACAAAATTATTTTTTAGTTTGCATATATTATACCTAAATTTTCAGATATTTTTAGCAAAAGTCATTTTCGAACAGTGTAGCCGTCGAATATTAGACTGTACGAAGGTTTGAATTTTTTCTTGCTCTCTTTCTCTTCCTTTTCTTTTTCGTTTCTTTCTTACACTCTCTCGCTCTTTTGATATGAAAAATGCATATTCTATTTATTTGTAAGGACATGTGATTGAATCATATTATCGTGTAATCACAAATCATGTCTCTTGTTTACGGCTCTAAATGATACAATTCCGAAACAAAATGATGGAGCTTCCATAACAAAATCCCGTCACTGTCGTATGCAATATATGTATATATTGCCGCGCGCGATTTATATTATATAACATGACGCAACGCATAATAGTGTGGTAAGATTAATTATCGCACAATAAGTGACACGTAACACGTTGTCTTGAGTGGAATGCCACGATCGAAATTTCAGTGTTATTCCTCATGATGCATCGTTTGCGCCAAAAGAAGGAAATTTTTTCTTGCGCTTTTTTTGGACGAGATTGGTATTTCCCAGCGTTTTAATGGAGTAAAACGAAAAAAAGATTTGATATATCTACAAATCTTATTTTAATATTCCAAAATTTATCGCGGTTTAAATATTATTGTTTATATGTAATTGACATTGAAGGAATTATCACAATTCAAGAAATGTTAATTTACTGCTGTAAGTGGCTCGCCTAATGATAAAATAAATTTATCATCTATATAGGATAACACATTATGAATGTAATTTCATTTTTCCTGTTGTTTTAACGTAGTAGTTTTTTTTTATTGCACAGAAGTCATTAGATCTATGAAAAAATGTGGAATCGCATAAGGACTTGTTTGAATAATAATTTTTACGATGTATTATGACATGATAATTATGTGTCTGTATATATTATTAAAGTTTAATATCACGTCGTTGTCTAGTATTACGATTTACTGTTGTTTTTTGAAATACAGTTAATTTTAAGTTAGCCATTTTCAATCTCAATGAAATATATTATTCCCGATAAAAAAATGTTTCTATGATGACTCCGCACTTCTTCCTTTTTGACGAGAATTATGAGATTCATTTTTCAGCGTCGAATTCTTTAACTCCTTTAGATCTAATTTTATTGGAACCATATTATCCGAAAAGAAATTTTTTAGTTTAATTTAAGGTCACTTTCTTTAATAAATAATTATATTAAACAATTAATTTTTTAAATTTTGACTATTTTTTACGCTTGTGCGTGCGACGTATTTTTTATGTACATAAAAAAATTTAAACTTTTATAGCTCAATTTGAGGATTACACTATTCAAAAGTAACTTCTTGCTGGAACCTATAAAAATTCATACAAATCTAATGATAATTTTGTTGGACGTCATTTGATCTCAAATGATTCTTTAAATTTGGGGTATATTAATGTACATAGGGTCTAAAGGGATAGAGACTAAAAGAAGAAAAAGATTTATGATATATTTTCTTTCGACATATTTTGCTTTTTAATTTACGCGCGGTACGAGATTGTCAGTATTGCGAAATTTTTGCAAACACGTAAATAAACCGATGGCACAATCGGCGAGAAAACAAGAAAAAACCTTGTTTAATGGAATGTACATATCGTCAAGTATTTGTCTTAAGAGCGAACAAAATGTGCAATTTTTCTTTAGCTTCCGTGAACGTGAAATAGTTTTTTCAAGGATTTTATTTATGATCAGGACTATATATCGACAATCGTATGACCTCTATCTAAGTAATTAGTGTTTGTTCTTGTGCTTCAAGAAATTCGTTTTATCGACAAATGTATTACATGTATTACATGATCGATTTCGTACACATCTGTACTGTTATTTGTTATAATATTTAATGCATGCATATTAATTATATTAATATATATTACATTAATTAACATTTATATCTGACTCGTTTAAATATTCACATAAATACTTTAATTGATTTTAGTGGATTTACCTGTTTTGATTTTCGATAGAATTTCGCCGGAAAACTCGTTCACTTTTATTGAATATCAAATTGATTGAATCAACTTATGTAATCTATCAAACATAAACAAATATTTCTACATACTTCTTTAGTTCTAATTTATGTGTCATGTTTAAGCAATACATAATTGATCTAATTTTCAAAATGCGAGAAATGTGGCAAATTAGTATCATGTAGAACTCTTGACTTGTTATTACACACGATTAGAATAATTTCAAAGCAAAAAAGGAGCACAAAAAGTGCTAATTGATAATTACCGACGATAAATTCTGTCCAACTCTTGGGCCTTCAATTTTCGATTTACCCCTTGTTAATTTTCCTTTTAATTATACATATCTGACATAAAGCATAACTTTATTCGATATTTAATTGCCTATTTAATAATTGCGATTTTTGCTCCAACATTGAAAACTGGTAGTCAGATTTATAAAACATTTCCGAATTGAAAATATAGGATTTTAAATATTTACATGGATGTAATGAAAAAATTTAACTATCTATATAACTTCCACTAAACAGCAAGTAGGTCACATTGGGTGCAGTTACTTTATTTTAGAAATTTCAAGGAGCCTGTATATACACACCTAGAATTTTTCTGTCGCGCATATAAATTTAAATTTTCACCTACGAAGAAAGTTGACCTATTTTTTAATTATATCCTTATAAAATTAATAGAGCATTAGAAAGCTGCGCAAGCTGTTCTAGATTAATTACGGACAACTTTCAGGCTAGATCGGATCAGGAGTCATACCGTTAATTAACATTGCTTTACCGTCGTGATAATACCATATGTAATATACGTCTCATGTGCGTAAATCTAGTGAGCGAAGTAGTCGCTCGTCTACTGGCCGGTGTGCCGGTTACTACTGTATATACAGTAACGCAATCGGTAAAAGCTGTTGTATAATCCACGCGCGAAAGATGCAAAAAGAACGCGTGCTACGCACTTTTTATAGACTTGAATAAGCGTGCCGCGCGTCGATGGAGAACGCGATCGCGTGACGTGATTTCTGAGTCGAGGTGATTCTCCGGTCGATCGATCCACTTTCTGGCTTCGATAACGATCGGTAAGTGTAATCTTCGCCGCTCGCGAATCCATTCGCGTCGATAGTGACTGAATCGCCGCGTACGCAGATTTATCCGGGGCGGCTCGTGGCGCGGCTGATACGCCAACCTATCTGCCGATTACGTGAAACGTGCCACGTTGCGACACGGCCCCGGCAAATTTTCTGACAGAGATCGAAACAAGTCCTGCTTTCTCCCGAATTTTTCAGCGTGCCTCGCCGCATGCGATCTCGCGCGCGGATGTACCCATATTTTTCCTGTCTAACGGAATCCGCGACCTCATGTCTCGCTGGACTCGCCGGACCAGTCATTAACGTCCCGTCGGTTTCATTAATAAATGAAAGTCGCGTGGCTTAGAGCGCGACTGTATATTATCCACCTGCCAAGGCCGGATTGCCGGAACGTCCGTTCTCTCTACATGTCGCGCGTTCGCCACGAGTCGACGGCCGTGTA